ATTCAGTGGACAAAGTTTGAACAAAAATCTATTGTCACTTTTATTTCAGAGGAATTACCTTAAGTACAATTTAAAACTTAAAATACTGCTTACCTTAAAGATTTTAGTTCTGTAAGTAAACACTGGAGAACTTCCTGATTCTCATCAGTTAGCTGATAAAGAAAGAAAAACCATTCATTGGTGACAAAAAGGTAATATTTTTTCGTTTAAAAGTGATTGCGGGATTCAGTTTTGTAATGAGGTATTTTACTTTTTATTCGCTCAAACTTACATGTACCCACACCAGCTTATAACTTACATTACAAACAGTTGCAACGATCCTTAACTGTAAAACAGCGTCGTTTCTTATGTGGACTATTCTGAAACAGTGCATATTTCTTACGTATAAACATCCCGAGACGCTTGGTAACAGAAATGCGTGATTGCCTTTGTGCTCGCTTTAACAATACATTGCCTGTTATTATTAATGATGTTCGTCGCCACTGCAACACATACCGGACAGTCAACATCCGACAAGTGTATCGACCATAATACGACAATTAATATTCCTCATGTTTAACAAATTCCCAGGCAATTCAACACAGTGCTTGGAAACCAAGTGAATGAGGGACACTCTGAAAGTTATATCTAGATTACACACTCACACACCTTGCAAGGGTGCTTGATTTTATAAGCTGGAGTTTCACTTCTTCCCCACCTAACCCACCCATGAGTTCAACCAGGGGAACAAGTGTTCTCTTCGTAAAACTCCGACGAGCTTCCGACTCTTAAAAAGTTGCTTAGGTACTCGCGAGCTCTCCGAACGTTGTCGCGTCAGTCTAACATCACATCGGTGTGTGGCGTTGCCAAGCAACTTCTCTGACGTAAGTTGCGGGTTCAAACAATTCTCGTCACAAGTTTCCCGAGTAACTTTTAAGCCCTGGCCTAATGATCGCAATATTTCAATGCAACATTTAACACTGTTGGGCACAACACGTCGCGCGCGTTTGGCCATCCTGTTGCGACATGTTGCGATATGTTGCGACAAAGTTGAGTGTTGTTGGCTCAAATTTGACCATTTTCAAACTTCAGCCAATAGCACCCAACATGTCGCAACACGTGTGTTGCGTTGAAATGCTGCGATCGTTTAGCCGGGGCTTAAGACGTTATACAGAAAGGCCAAATGAGCAACCGCTCGGAAGTCACTGCATATGTCCGTATTTGCCCATTCCTCCTCAAAAGGAATGGGTTAATTGTTTGCTAGTAAAAGTTGTAAAAGGACGCGCTCACATTTCACTTGAGTAAAAGATCATAAACGCTCAGTCGTGGTGTCGCTCAGTCCGGCTACCCTTTTTCAGCCGGTGTGGATTCCCCTCCGCACTACAGTTTCTTTGAGCCCGAACTTCCAGTCAGTGCTGCACTTCATTAATGGCACAACCAAGAATCAGAACGAATAGAACCGAATGAATCGTGTTACCTCTTTGGCCAAGCCAAGCAGCAGCTTTTCAAATGCGAACTCGCTCCACCACGAGGTGCCCTGCAAGTTCTGAAAGAAAAACATGATTAACTTTATTCAGACAGAAACTAAAAAGGATTTAACTGTAGTCTGTAGTCTGTCTTAAGTTTGCCGAGATCGCAAGCCAAATATTAAGGACATGGAAGAACCAAAACGCACGAGGTAGGACTAGGGAAAGACAAAAAACAACAACAACTACAACAATAACAACTAACTAGCAGGGACAAAAGCACAAAAACAAAAGACATCTTTGGACAGACAAGATCAACTGAAGGGCACATGTTTACCGTAAGATGCGGGAGTGAGATAATAATAATGAGAGAATACCAATTGAAAATTAATGACAAGGTTACTGAACACGTACCCTGGGTGCCAGAAGTTTTTCTTGCGCGGTTTCCGGTGTCGGTCATGTAGCGAAGTATTTCCGTCCGCCGCGCGCGACAAAAAACCTCTGGTACCCAGGGTACTGAACACGCCAATAGGATCTGATATGATCTTACGGCTTCTACTAACGCCAATTTTAATATAAAAGGTAAAGAGTCACCGCTGGTTAACATAATTCTATCATTTCCAAGAAGGCACACCGTCCGTTATCATAAAGCCTTACTAACTCACCTTGTATCGTTTAGACCCAAGCACCACCCAGTCAGGGGGAGCAAAGGCCACTGCTTCTGAGATGGAGTAACCGCAGCTGACACTACTGTAGTAAGCCTGCAAAGACAGATCGTGAAAAATAAAATTATACTCCGTCCCAAACATAGCAGCGCACCATACATGTTCAAAGTGTGCCTTTTTCTATATATTCTGGTGTCATGTGAGATATCAAACACGAAAGATCGTGTTTGAATGCATTCCCAAACATCGAGAAGAGAGTTGAAAATACGATGCGTAGCGGAGTATTCTTTTTGACGAAGTTCGAGGTGTATGGTATTGTGATCAAACACTGCCTTGAGTGTTTGATCACAATACCAAACACCTCGAACTTCGAAGTTTATTTCCTCTTCCGTCTTCCGAGTCTTCCGAATCGAGTGACGAAAAACAAATGGTTTTGAAACAAATCTTGGACGTTTTAGTCCCAAAACATATTGGAATGATTAGTTTTGTTTTCCATTTTCCCGAGCGAATACAGAGAGCTGACTAAGGCACCACTGTGATTGGTTCCTGAGTAGACGTCATCAGCAACCGCCGCGCCAGACTCCCTAAACGCGGTCGCGTAACAATTCAAGAGCGACTTTGGAAGGGCATAGAAAATCGGGGATTCGACCAAATTCAAAAGTTTTTCGCCCAAATACTTCGATTAACAAGTGGATTCGTTTTAGCGAAAAAAAAGTTT